CTAAATGCCTCACCACAAACCCCCCTCACATTACATGGCAGTGACATTACCTACTTGAAATTAAATGCCATCACCAGCACTTCCTTCTCTCTAAAGGCAAACCAACCACTTAACTTTGGCTCATGATTATGCTTTCACACCAGATGTTAACTAAAATGAAGGCTTCACTAACAGTCATATTGTTACAGTGGAACCATTTTTCTTTAAGCCCACAGATAAAACACACTTTGATTGAAGCGCTGACAGGCCAAGCTCCTGCCTCCATCTATTAGACACTTTACTGCTTGAGCTATTCTGGGATTTAATTTTATTACGTTTTTTTTTTTCCCCACTGTTCTACCCGGGATAATTTTATGCATGGAATTGAATTATGATGAACGCTGAATTATGAATGCTGGGACTTTTGAATGAATAAAAAAAGCTTTATTAGCGTTACATTGTCAAAATGAATGGTAGAAAAATGCAAACTGAGCTGTTTACTGTTTATTTTAACAAATATATTAAACTTAAACAAGAGATAAGATTCAGCTAATATACATGAGGGTGGAGGCCTTTTTCTGCATGCTCACAAGGAAATTCAAAACTAAAAGTTTAAGAATGAGCATCTAAATGGGCCTGGCTCCTTTAGGATAAGTGTGAAATAATTCTTATTGCAAATTAGAAAAGAGTTTTGGAAATAAAAGCATTTCAGCTGTCTAACATGAGGGAGGACTGCTCAGGCTCTAGATATTTAGAAATGTTGGATACAAAAAGAATCTAGTATTATAAGTAAATATTAGAGTAAGAGATATTAGCATATTACAATATATATTTTAGGGGAGGTATGAAAATCCCCCCAAACAAAAACTGAAAGCTGACAATAACTGTAATCCTCAACTTAAGCATGCAGTGAAAGAATTGTTTTTTTAATTTTTAAATATTCAGTTGGTCGTTCATGTCAAAGCACACAGGTCCAGGTTATCATACGGACAGATTTAATTCTTTACATTGCCATAACTTTGTGCTAGCATCAGAAACACTGGGAGAATAGTTTTCTTCATAGAAGCTTACAGCTATTGATAGCCGCTCAGTGCTGGAAAGCAATTTGACACAGCCTGTTGTATTTCACCAGGCTGTGAGGAGTAAACGCCCCTTCAACTGTCTCCTCCTGAAACTTGTTAAAAGATAGCAGTATCTATGCAAACATTTTCTGGAACTTTGCAGTTGATCCTAAAACTGAATTTGAATAGCATCCTGTTTAAATTCCACTCTGTGACTGTGTGTCCTTAGAAGACCTAAATGCTGATCTGGTTCATTCCCTTCCACCGTCAGCTGCACTACACATCAAAGTAACATCCCAAACTGTGACTGAGGTTAAGCATACACAATTCAGTGTACCGTGCTGGGGATAGAGCCTTTGACAGGCCGATATATTTGCTTTGAAATTCATTTGTCAGAACACCTTCCATGAGTAGATGGAAAACAGCCAGACAGAAAGAGACTACTGTTTACTTTTTAACACAGACATAAAAGCTCCATTGATGTAATCATGATGTTCGCCTTGTCTCAGTTTTTTCTTTTTTTACTTTGACTGATCAGAAATGTTTGAATGCATTTTTAAACCCTCTTTTGTGAATCCTTTTATAATCTGTTGTCGAACTGAAATTATTTGTTGTCTTTTTCCTGAAACGGTGTCAGATAAAAGAACTGCATCACTGTGTGTACTGTAGAAAATCCTTCTGCTCGACAGTAGCATGCAAATCTCTAACCCGTAATGGAAGTCCTGAAGTAAAAGTCTAAGCACTCGATTTTGTCCGTGTTAATCTAAAAAAAATAAAAACGTTTTCCAACGTCCAAAAGCTTAGTCTTCCTGATTTAGAATTAGGATTAGTTAAATAAAACATGCACGTTGAGTCCTGAATGTCTCCCAACAATGTGAACCGAGCAACATGAAGTGGTCAAGTCTGTGCAATTATTCTTTCCGTTAGTGTAAATCTAAAATAATTGGGCGACTTTAGCGATCAAAAGAGCAGTCTTGAGAGCAAACAATGAGAAGAGGGAGATTCTGACTGAATACTCAGCAAAGGGTGATCTCATTCTGCAGGCACAGAGAGTAGGTATTCCCCTTCTGCACTGTGGTGGACAGCGGTTTGGAGTGAGCAACTGAAGTATGTTGGCATGCAAAGCATTATTCAATGAAGTATGAATGACAGAATTTTGAAATATACATATATATACACAATAGTAGTGTTAAGTCTTTTTTTAAAGACCGGAAAAATGTTTATTGTAACATCATTTGGAACCCCTAACTGATATGGAGAACCATATATCAGTCTGTTAACCCTATGTCACAAATTTTGCTCATTGCTAAATTTAGCTGTGTGGTCAGCAGCAAAGGGGCGTGGGGATGTTTCATCATCAAGCAGTTTTTGTAAGCCTGACAGAGAAAGACCAGCTGACACGTGTTTTTCAAAGATTACCTTGACTGCCATTAAAAGTTAGTTTGAATTGTCCGTCTTTGTCTGCGTTGAGCATATCTGTTTTCTTTTCCATTTTTGCAGCTGAATGTTAAAGAAATTAACAACGTCCGCAGTCATTCTCCGACACACAAAATGTACGCAAACACATACACATACACAGGGGACTTCCAGGCCAACACACCTCCACCCACTCAGCCTCTGAACCTTGAGACACACAGACATTCCACACAGGTTACTCACACTTATACGGATTAATAGAGAATTAAGACCACTGTGCAAATCACCACAAACATTTGCTGTTTTTACACCTGGAACCACAACAGACGATTAATGAAACAAATGTCAATACGCTGAAGATGAGCTGGATGGTGCATCCAGTAATGACCCGGATGCTTAGAATGTTTTCACATTTTTCACAATTGTTTCTAAATTCAGACATATGAAAGCCTTTTAATATATGTTTAATGTTTCTTGCAGGAAAAAAATTATTCTATGGATGTTTAAGTGAAAATAAAAACTTCTCCTGTAACAACTGCCCAACTTCCAAAGTCCATTATCATTGAGTGTTCTTTTGATTCAGTGATCTTTTTAAAACAAAATCTATATAATTATTCACACTAATATAGTTTTCTTTACTTGAACTGACCTCATTGACCTTTGTTTTGGGATATGTCGGTTGAGTGAGAACAGCTTGGAAATGTAACGATATACAATTTCATTTGCCCAAATTGGTTGCTCAGCAGCAGTTGTTCAAAAAATGAAATCAATGACAACCACAAAAATAGTCACAAATGCTATAACAAATCATTATCCATGGTGCTATTTGGTATGTGTGGCTTCATGTGACAAAGAATGATACAGAGAGGAGACATTTAAGCTAAGATAAAGCAAAAAGCTCACACCATGTCCAAGCCAGCCTCGAGCAATCTATTTTCACTCTAAAAAAGCAAGAGTCCATGCACCTTCGAGACAAAATCTCCTCCATATAAATTTAGCGTCATAGCTCAATTCAAACATGTATTTGCTCACTATTTGCACCTTTTGTCTTTTTTTACAATAAGATTTACAACCAGTAAACAAATATGCAAATAATTCTGTGCCCTCTAACTGAAAGATATACTCTGGTGGTTTGTTCTAAATTTGGCAAAAAACATCTGGGTGATTTTGGGGAGTTAGGAGAGCTGATAATTTTATGAAAGGCCTCACCTAAAGCGATGCAGGGGCTTGCCTCCTGACAAACTCAACGATCAGTTAAGATTAACTTCAGAAAATTCAGCATAGCTTTTCATTTGTGTCAGGTTTTTTACTGAATTCTGTTGCTGTACATTCAAAGTAAAGAGAAGTCAAGAAACCAATTCTGTTATCAAAACCTAAGGACAATGTTAAAAAAAAAAACATATATATGCTAAAATACAGGATATCTATAGAAGATCAAGCATCCGAAAACTCCAATTTATTTATCAGGAAAGGTGGAATTGTTGTCTTTCTTTGGACAGATCTGGTGTCAGTATACCTTAAACCCTAAACATTAACAGTTCCTATTTTTAAAAATGTCTGTGAATTATAGTTTCAGTTAAAAATTGTGACTGTACCTTACATTCTTGTGCAGCCATAAAACACATGTTTTACTAATCAGCTTTCATTTCAACCAAATATCACACTCAAATATCAATTGATTTTTGGAAACCACTAGATCCCCAGAGAAACTAATAAAAAATAAATACCATCTTGCCGAAAGCTACTATAATGATGCAGTTACACATATTAGAAAGTGGATAATTGAATTGTATAGATATTAACCCTACTGTAGCCCTACTTCTAGTACGTGACAACACTTTATTTTGGATGTATGTGAAAGTAGAGGAAATTCCCTTAGGCAAAGCACTTTGGACTCACCATGAACCTCCTTTGTGCATTCATTTTTCAGTTCAAATGATCCTATAATCGGAATTAGTTAATGAAAGCCAATAATGTGTATGTACATAATATTTACAGGGAAATGTTGCCGGGTAAGAAGTGGAGGTTAGTCATAATACGTGACATACCGTAAATGGTCTACTTAAAACCGGCTGCGGGAGCATTAAATGGAAGCCACGAATTTATGCGTAACTCCTTATTCCTGTTTGATCACATTTCTTCGGGGCAACGATAGTTTCATTTTGACATGAGATGCTTCTCTCCGCGGGAGGATCGCGGGTGGAACGGCGACGAGTTTTTCTACCCCGGCCGATGCGCTGCTGTCAAAGAGAAAAAAAAAAAAGACGGGGCGCATGCGCAGCAGGGGCCCCGCTGCAGCACAGTGGCTGTGACGCCGCCCATTCATTGGCAGAGACAAGTCTAGACACGCTCCGAGGGCTCTGCCGGAGAGCAGCCGGAGAGCAGCCGGAGAACAGCGCCTCACCTCCCGCTGCCCAGCCGGCCGCTGTCCCGGAGCTATACTACCCGGAGCCGTCGTTGTGAGCGGAAGACCCCGCGGTCGTCTCCCCGGCCGTGTGTCGGAGCTTGCCGTCGCGCCGAAAAAAGAAAAAAAAAAAAGAAAAAACGGCATCATTGGGACTACCTGTCAGAGCACACACTCTCTCTCTCTCTCAAGGAGGTCCTCCCCGCAGACTTGAGGACGTGACCATGCCGCTCCAGGAGCAGCTGACCTCGGCCGCGGCCCGGGGAGAGGCGGCCGGTGTGGAGGAGCTCCTGCGGGCGGGAGCCCAGGTCAACGGCGTCAACCGCTTCGGACGGACCGCTCTACAGGTCAGAGCCGCGCTACGGTCACCGGCCGGACAAAAACTAAAGTTTAGCATCCAAAATGAGCCCCAAGAAGGGACCCCTCCGGGGGCTTTAGAGGCTGAGGGGTCTTCTGGATGGAGCTGGTGATGGAAAGATGAGTCTGTGCTGCTGTGATTGAAGCAAAATAGCCGTTAAGCTTTCTTAAATGGATGGCCTTGGATGTATTGAACGAAACGAAACTAGGCTGACACTTAGTATTGAAAGGCTGTATTTCATAACTCATGATTGTCATCGATTTGTATTATTACAGTCTATCATTTATATTGGCTGTGACATAAATGACTGAATGTGTAGATTAGGCTTCTCTTCTTTAATCTTTTTTTTTCAACTAAACTTAACTTGATAACTTAACCTTTAAAATGTGAGGTACCAAGATCAAATAGTGTAATGATCATGTCTGACAGGCTGTTGAACTATATCATAACTTATTTCTAAATTCATGTTATACCTGTTTCTGTAGGGATAACATTTTTGTACACATACACACACACGCACACACACATATCCACATATATATATATATTCCTTTTTTAGCCTTTTACTTATGAGGCACAATAAAGTTTGACCCTTTGTTGACTGTAGTCTAATTATTAAATGACAGACTGTCACCTTCAAATTATCTCAAAATCTTAATGATTTGATAAATAAATTCTGGCCAAGTGCGCTGTTGGGGGGAAATGCATGTACGACCCAGCCGGCCTCCTATTAGACTCCCTTTTATTGTAAATCCGCGACAAACAAAAAAAAGGACAATTGCCGAAATAAGTGGCTGAAAAAAATGATTAAAGTTAAGCGCAGCGTCTCCGTGCTGCTTCTTCCAAATAATCCGAGGCAGGTTCTGATTTACAGGCCACAGCCCCCCCCCCCAACATGCGAATTGAACTAACACTGTGGCTCTCGTTCTGATGAAGGTGATGATGATGGGCAGCTCTCCGGTGGCTCGGCTGCTGTTGGCGCACGGAGCGGATCCCAACGTGGCGGACGGACGCACCGGAGCCTCCCCGCTGCACGACGCGGCCCGGGCCGGCTTCCTGGACACGGTGCGGCTGCTGGTGGAGGCCGGGGCGGACCCGGAGGCCCGGGACGGTGCCAGGTCCCTGCCCGTGGACCTGGCCAAACGGAACGGCCACGCAGAGGTTGCGGCTTTCCTGGAGGCGCTCTGAGACGCGTCCTGCTCCTGCTGAACTTTTATTTATTCCAGCTGGATCTGACAGCGAAAGCCTGAGGAGGCCCGCTGCCTCTGCCCGCTGCTGTTAGGCCGTGTATGCATATGTAAAAGAATATATATATAGCCTATATATCATATAATATTTATTGCTATTTGCTATGGTTCTCATTATTTTATTTATGGAATCAGGCTGAGGCCCGGGCAGGTTTCCATCCCCACAGTCCATTAGAGGCCGGTTTAAGTTCTATCATTAAAGAGCTGTATCGTTGTTTTGTTTTGGTAATATTTGTACAGGAATTTTTTATAAATATAAGATTATTTCGTTGAAATAAGGTCCAAATGTGCATGTTGGAACTTCTGATCGTGTTTAACACTGAACCAAAAATAGCTCGGAAGCCATGGCAAATGTTTTGCACATTTTAAATGTTTTTTTTTTATCTAAGGAAGGAGCTATTGTCGATTCCTACAATAATCTCCTTTCGTAATAAATTATATTCAAATTTCGGATGTTATGCACTTTAATAAAAAGCCATTTGTCAATGCGTTGTGTGAGATGTTTTAGACATCAGGGAATAAGCGGTTACGATAATGGTTGGATGGATTATAAAAGCGATGTTCGAATTATTGTCCGAATTCAACGAAATAAAACAAGAAGGATTTAAGTTTCAACCGAATCCCTTCTGGGACTCTTAAATAACTTTTAAAGGATCGACTCTGTCTAATGAAAGAAATGCATGTGACCTTAAAAAAAGAGGATGATATTTTTAACTGGTCTAATTACGGTGGGTTCAGGGGTCTAAACGCAGTTCCTAAAATTACAACTTGCCCAATTAATGGTTTTCAGTGATACAATCGAGGCCATATTAAAGTACGGTGAATGAAGTTAAATTAAATATTTAACATTTAGCGAAATGTATTTACAAAAGCAAAAAAAAAAAAAAAGATTGGAAAACCGCCTCTTTAATCACCGTCCAACCATGGTATGCTTAACAGGATTGTGATCAGTTTAGTTTTGCTACTCTGGAGGAAATCGACAATGTAAAATCTCCACTGAAATCATTTAAATTTGTGCTGATTCACTGCTGCCAATAGAATTTGGCAAAACTTTGTTTACATGAATGCAAAATAAATGATAAATAATCATGCATGGATTTTAACTTCAATTCTTTCACTCTGTCAAAACCATTTATTGTAGCCATATAAAGCTTGAACAATGAAATAAGTGACAGTGAGATAAGATATTCGTAGATCAGATGAAATAGGAGCAGCTTAAATATCATGTGGAGCCTGCGGTTCTGTGAGGTTCCAGTTCAGCTTGTTCAAAGAGAAACTACTAATGAGCGAAGGGTGCGGCATGCTTGCAAAACGGCCAGTTTCTTTATATGATGACCAACACCAACAGTACATCAAATACCTCAAGTGCACTTGGCCAATGTTTGTCAGTGAATACACACAGAATACACATTTTTCAAAAGTACACAAAACACTGATACTGTGAATTAAGTGATAACTAGAAAAGTATTTACCATTAAATTGCAGCAGCTCTATCCTTTATGAAATGTTTTGATCAGGAAACATGTAACAGCTGTGGAGAGCACATAAAGGCTTGTCACCAAATAGAAAAACGAACCCCAGAAAGTGGAGAATATTTGACAGCTTTACAATTTCCCCAGTGAAGAGTAAGTAGGCATTTAAAGACTTAACTGCTAAGAGGTCCAAAAACATGCTCAACACACCAGATTTAAGTCTGAAAGTAGCATGTTGCAACAAAGGCAGCATTTAAGTATTAATGTTCTGAACTTCCACCATTTTATGAACAGACATGACATTTCTGGTGGTTTACGGACAACAAAAGGAGTGCTCAAAATACATGGATCCACAAGAAATTGAGAGAGGTTCATTATTTAATTATCTTATTAAAAAAAACGTGTCCAAATGAAACATTGTGACCTGTGAAACGTTAGAAGCGGGGCGTGTGGATTTGGAATAAAAACAAAACACTGAAAACTCCAGCTGAGCACACAGAACGTGCGTTATTTATGTGAGGCACTTTCTTGTGATTCACCGATGATGAAGCCAGAGTGGAGTCTGCTGTCTGTGCTGGGCTCGGTGCAGATGGTGTCTGGAATTTCTATCCCTTTCTTCTCCATTGTTGTCTCAGTCTCAGTGTTTTGGTAGCATTACAGAAGATTGTGCCATCGACTGCAACAAAGACGGAAGAAAAACGTTTTTTCCCCCCTGTTTGTAATACAAAGTACATTTAGTGATGTGAAAGTTGCCGGCTGATTTTTTTTCGTGGTTGCTTTGAGGAAGTTCGCGTTTCTTTAGCAAGTGACCGAGAAAAACGAGGCAAACGATAAACAGATGTGACAGTCATCATTACAAAAACAAATTCAAATTAACGTAATATTATTTACTCAATATTTGAAGGGATTCAAAACTTAATAAAACAAAGACTGCTTTTCAAAACTTACCTTACTGATGAGTCAAGGTCTTTCAGGCCTATCCAAACTGTGACAAATGACTAGAAATGATCTACCCCTCAAAGCCCCAATTATGGCACATTTGATTCTTCAGAAAAGAACACAACGCTGTGATCTCACGTCGAGACAGCCAGCCCAAAGGTAAACAGTCGGCCTGTCACCACATCGCTGATGTGTTGCTGATATGGAATGAACCATTGTGACATTAATATCTTACTTTCAAGGTCTTGATTGTCTGAGCCCAGTCCATCTGACTGATCTGGGGTATGGCCGTTAACAGGATGCTGCTTGCTTTGTTTGCATTTTCTTTCATTGTCTTCAACACGTTGTCAACACAGACCTGAAACAAGGAGGAAAACAGCACCGAATTACAGTGGTACTGATTTAACCTGTCGTAACTTAAATGGTCACTATTCAACAAATTCATGTGAGAACAGAAGATAAAATACGGTTTATGGGATTGCATCTAATACTTCATTTGAATGAAAAAAGGAAATCACGCATCCAGTTTTAAGTACAGTAAGTTAATCTATTATATCCATCCTGTGGTCTTTTTTTACCTCCTGTGACCCTCTTTGACCCCCCCTTGAGTCCTCTGTTTTCATGTTAGGCTCATTGACTAGACCTAATGTTTTTGTGGTATTTTCAGGATGAAGACGGCAGTGCTGATGACTCAGTGTGACTCAACCTCCTCCGGGAGGGCTTCCACCGGAGGCTGGCAGCAGAGCGGGCCGGGGGTGTGCGGCGGAGGGGAGGGATGAGGAGGGAGAGGCCAGGAGGAAGAGTGAGGCTGGGAGGGAGTGAATGAGAGGGGGCGGAAGGATGTGGCAAGCCTTCTGCGACAGGAGGGGGAAGAGGTCAGCTGCAGGAACTCGGAAGTGGAGTTGTGAGTTCGGCTGGATCAGTGACAGAAACCAAAATCCGCCCACACACTCTCACAAACACACACATGCAAACACACACAGTGTCACCATACTGTCCACTGAGCCTGGGTAGCCAAGGATGGGTAACTCAGAAGCAATGAGAGGCTACAGATAATCTGTCTAATTAAGGAGAACTGTGAGCGGAACTCCTGAGAACCGTATTATCATAGTAAAAGAAGGAAATCAGCTCTAATCATTCGAGACCAAAACTCGACTAATGTGCTGCATTTAAACAGCAAAAACCTCAAGCAATCCAAATCCAAGCAAATGTGACCACAGGGTCGGTAATTATTGTGTGTGCTGTAAAAATCATATCAGGCTTTTTACTGTCTCACAGCTATCAGAAGAGGAAGGCTGTAATTCTAAAATAATTTTTTTATGGCATACGTTTGCATATAAAGATTAAACTTTGACCCCAAATAACATAGACACAGTTATCAGAGGGACTTGGCTTGCAGAGTAAAAGGTTGCTGACGTAATGTGAACTGACCAATACCACCCTCACACATTCCCTCTTCTTTTTGGGGATGGCTTCTTTTTCTAAGCTTCTTCGGTTGTGCGGTAAAAGTCATTCTGCTGTCACCGGGCAGACTGCCTGCGTTTTGTGTAGCTTTGTTTGCTGGTCGGCTAATGGGCATGGAGTGTTATGGGCTGAAATTTAAAGGATTTTGAATGGAAAAAAAACATTGAAAAACAAACTGAAAGTCGAAATAAACAGAAAATCTATCAATACAGACATTTTAAGAAAAACCTAAACTACAAAATCCTGCTTGGCTTAGATATGTGAAAAGAAACCCACAAATGAGGGTCATGCATGTGGCTACAATACGCCTCTCTGTGTGGCCGATGTTTGTGTTATGAGCGTGTTGGCAACCGGCTGTCCCCAAAGAAGCTTAGAGCTAGGAATTGTTCCCTGGAGTAATTTGGTCACTGCAGGCGAATAAAAATCTGATCGTTGCAACTCTTACTTGCTGCAGTGGACCAAAGGTCAGGCAGGATACCATCATTTACCACTGACTCACAACACACAAAAGGAGGAACATCGATGTAATAAAAACAAACCGGCAAGACCTCCAGCTTGCCCCCTCACCGCTTCTTCGTGCTCCTTCCAACAGTCATAGTCGGTTGCCATGGCGATGCTGGCATAGCACAGGCCGGCCTCTTTGGCGAGGACCACCTCTGGCACGGTGGTCATATTGATGACATCGGCGCCCCACTGGCGGAACATGAGGCTCTCGGCTCGTGAGGAAAAGCGAGGACCCTCGATACTCAGCATGGTCCCCCGAACGTGGCACTTGATCCCCAGACTCCGGGCCACCTCCACCAGAACCTGTGACACAAATAAGTGTCAGCAACAGCCTCCGAAATGATTAAAGGCGGACCGTTTTAAAGTTAGCGGACAACGGACAAAAGAGACATTGTGCTTTTAACCCTTTAAATGTGAACCCTTAAGACCCAAAGTGGAGAGTTTTCTGGAAAAAAAAAGATCTTTGGTGCTTCTATTTCATATAATTTCATGTTACCATGTTGTTTTCAGAAAGGTTCCTGTCGTTGCTCAAATCACAGTGGGTTAAAGACTGACAGTGCTAAAACAATTATAGCTTATCTTAGTCCATCACATAGACCACTAATATCTAGAAACATTTAAAACTCTTAACAGAGCTAATTCCATTTCCATGTGGAAACAGATAAGCGTGAAAATGATACTCAGTAATTTCTTAAACATTCTATGTTGCACTCAAATTAGACTACAAAATGTTCTCTCTTCACTTTTCTGTTTTGCTTTTCTTTTATAAGTCGTACTGACCTCTCTGGTTCGGTTGCAGAAAGGCTCTGCCATGGGGATGTGGCACACACCTGACGGACTCGTGGCCTGCCCATCAAACAGGGTTTGAGGTCTCTTGGTGGTCCTGGTGAGGAGAAGCAAGAGGAGGCATGCTGAAAGTTACCACCAGGGAAACACGTACTGATACAGAGTCTGTAAAAGGTCTGATCCGTTACAGTGTAAAACTAAACATGACCCCTGTGAGGAAACAGCATTGACAATGTTAAAACCCATGAAATGAATCTTGTCACATCTCTCTGGGACAGTAGGAGCATTTTGCCCCAACAGCTGTCCTCTAAAGTCCAGCTGTGCTGAGTCAGCCTGTCTCCACCTAGCTGATCGTGCAGCGGGCAAAAGGCGGATTCACTTAAAACCAGTCAGCCGAGAACATGAGGCTTTGTGGTTCTGCCTTTAGAATTCGCAGCTTTAATGACCTCATTATTTGAGTTTTCGGGTCCATCAAAGTGCAAAAGGGTACGTCTCGAGAATAACAAACTCGTTTGTTGTGCATAGACGGCACAGTAGACGTGGATCTTTGAGTCATAACATAATTATCTCAGACATCTAAAATATGAATACCTCTGATGCCCTGCCCCGTCTTTGGCTGTGCCACTGAAAGTCTGCAGCCAGGATTTAAAGACTCTCTGCAAGCTTTGCCTGGCTTAGAGTAAATTCCACTCGTATGTGGGATAAACTATAAGCTTGCACAATGCTTCATTATGCCACGCAAATCGAGTTATCCTGCCCAGGCATTTCATTAGGAAAGCAATTTCTACATTTCTCAATGAGCCAAGGATGTGGTCCAAAAAGCTATGCGTATCTAACATTGTGAGAGGCTGCTTACTACACAGGAGGCTAGATTAGCAGTAAGAAACATTACGACAGCCCGGAACATCATGAAATGAAGGGTCTGCTCAAAAGGTTTGGAACTACTTGAAATACAGACAATTGCAGGCCTGACAACCAGGTTAGCGAGTATGAGGAACTGTTGCAGTCTTATCAAAAAGAGAGATCAGCAACTGTCATAAACGTGAAAATGAAAACAAAAGCATACGACCCAAAGGTAACAGCTGGGCTTGAATCTATAGTGATAGCCATGTTAGAAGAGCTGAAGTCGTAAGTGCAACCGCACAAAGCAGGCTCTCTTTTCGTAGCATCCGAAGAGGTCGGTTTGAGTGGTTTGAGGAGTGGTGATGTCACATGCCCGTGGACAAGCCCTAACACGTCCCAACAAGCAACTTCCCCGTTCTGGATAAGTAAGTGGTGGCACTGGTATTCCATCTCCAGCAACACCACAAGGGTGACCAGTTAGACAGGCAGGTTACTGATTATACCAGTCCAACCAGCTATATGCCAGCGCATGGGTAACGAGTCATGGTATCTTGGGCAGCACCTCTCAGTAAGAATGTTGTTAGATAAATCGAATTTGTGCGCTCAGCTAACTTGCAGCACAACGCTCCCACGGGGTGACGCTCTATGAATGCAAGACGGGAAGTATAAGGCATATGCCTTGAGGTCAGAAAGTACTGACAAAGTGTTCTTTCACACGAATCAAAGATACTGTTATGCTTATCAGCAAATGCGACGGGAGTTTGTACTGACGACACAAAACACCTGCAGAGTGGCGGCGCTGGGAGCTTTGAATGGTTGTGGATTTTCGGTGATCTCCTGCACTACGTCTCATCGTGACGATTCAAGCCCATCTGTGTCTTATTCTCTGTGATGTCAGTGTGTCTTTGTCTTTCTGTACTAAAGCTATATGTTCTGGTCTTCGATAGTCCTCAGCAACCTGTTGTATCCAAACTAAAATGTATTCTAATTGCCAAAACAATCTCACATCATCTTATTACTTTTCTTGTCACTGTGTTCTTTTGCATTTCAGAAGTAAGCCATGTCTCCTTTTTTACAATAAACCATATCAATGCTCAACTTGAACTACTTTTAATCGTGGATGATATGCCTTTTTTCTTCTTTCTTTGGAAGTTGTGCATATATTTAGATAAATGGCTAAACTTCCTTGTGTGGAGGAACAGGTTGTGTGTGTGTTTTTTTTAAACCGTCTATGAGCTTATTACAATAATCAGCTCAGTAAAAGAGGGAGTAGTAGAGGCTTTGTTGAGGCAAAACAATAAAAGAATTTATTATGGATGTCAGTCCACAGCTATCATTTGATCTGCTTAAAGTGTGGTCAGAGTCAACAAAGACAGACCAAGGCCGGGTTATTTTTGTTTGAGCTGTTGTGTGTGACTCAGCTGTGTCCATATGATTCTGGAGGATGTCATCAGAGGTGTGTTTAAAATGCATAGCATTAAACACACATTATTCTCCTGTTTCACCCTGTTTTATTTGAAAACATTCACAATAATCCCACCAAAATGATCAAAGCACTTTGGTCTTTTTAGAATCGTGTTTTTAAATAAAGTATATTCATTGTAATGAACATATAAATGATCTTAGTGCTCTGATAGCACAATTAGAGTTTTAATTCACGGGGTGTGCAATATTTCTAATATTGCTTAACATGGTAGTCATAAAGCATAGTGATATTAAGCAACGCAAACTGGATGAATGACAAGTGAAAGCAGAGATTCTCGTGACACTGATCCGTAGCATGGCTAAACGAAATACGAGTCAAACAGGAAGAAGTCACAAACAGTTCACATAAATATCTGCTGCTTAAGACAGTTTCTCATCATAGTGGTGCGGTCACCGATGGAATGTCAGTTTCCTTTTTATTAAATGCGCAGTCGACAGTGACACTTGAGAGTGGCAGAAAACATCAAGCTGAGGTGAACTGCTCTCTTTCCCACAGTGGTGGACAGTCAGCGCATGCTGATTGTGACAGATTTTGACGAACACTGATCGTCTCAATCTTCTTCTGTAATTTGATATGTGTTTTTTCATTTCCCACAAAGTAACGTTAACATTATTCCTCAGAAAATGTGATGCACCATAACTGAATAACAGCCAATAATGACATTAACGGGGGATCTGTGTTTGGAAATTATTCATATGTTGTTCTTCATAGAACATCTGAAAGTAATGTGTCCTTTTTTTCCTACATATTTAAGCAAGTAATGGGGCCATGTCTGTCTCAGAGATCTCTACTGATTCCTGCAAGAATCATTGTTTTACCAGTGTGTCCATTTCCAACACATGTAAAGTAAGTGAGTGTCAAAATGTCAAAACGAATCATGAGACTAATCAGAGCAAAATATGCACGAACCTGTCAATGAACTGATCTATGATGACTATATCTCCTGGCTGGATCTCCTCCCGGAGTGAACCACAGGCTGTGGTTACCAGCAGATGTGTGCAGCCTTCTTCTCTGAGAGCCCAGATGTTGGCCTGGTAGTTTACATTGGTCGGCATTATGGTGTGTTGTCGCCCGTGCCTGGGGATGTCACAGCTCGTATTAAAATGTAAGACATGTACGTACGTAGCACACATTACGCCTGTACTTTACAGGTGCCACTTGGTTTCAACAGAGATAAACAATTTCAAAACTCCTCAGAAAAATTTCAATACAAGCGCTTACCTCGCAAGAAGCACACACTCCACATTTTTTATCTTCCCCAGTATCAGAGCATCTGATGGCTGTTCAAGGGTAGAAGGGCCATCATTTAAAATAATTACAATTGTGAGGTGTGGTTTCATTTAATGGCAAAAAATACATCTAGGAGCCAGAGTATAAATCATCTCACCTTTCCATATGGAGTGTCAACATAACGTTCCGTTCGTCCTTCTAAGATATCAGGGTCATCCAGACCAGAGCCACCAATTATTCCAATCTAGAAGAAAGATTAGCGAAACTTGTCACCAAATGCGTTTCATTGGAGTTTTTACCTCTGCCACTTTAATTACAAATCTCCTCATTTTCATTATGCAGCTTGTGCAGAAACAGTACACAATCTGAAACACATTTTAAAAAGCCAAATATACTGTGTAATTTTTAGAACCTGATTTTTATAAACCTTTCCACAATCTATTATAAACACATTATTTAGGTGTGTTTGACTCACCAACAGTTAGAGCTTGACGTTTTTTAATTGCCTGACAGGACTCATTAGCAAAACACTTGTTGGATGATACATTGAAGGAGGAATTATGACATAACTTTGATTCTTCCACCACCTGCTGGCTGGCTATTTATTATCCAGCATTCCAGTCTGTGTTATGAATACAACCAGAAGATTGAAAAAAAACATTCCCGAAGACAAAGCCCCCATAAATCTCAGAGCCACAGGAGGGGGCACAAGTTTTGAGTATGAAACTTGATAGAGTCCTCAAACATTTGCAGACTAAAACTTTCTCATCAGTGAAAAAACTGTGTTGCATATGACCTCCATTTTTAAGAGGATTTGGCAGCATTCTGCTATTTCTCAGTTTTTGAAAACAATTATTTTTGAAGGGAGACATGCAGTCTTTAACGAACCTGGCCAAACAATGGTGAAGCGTACTGATGTTTAAAAAAATAAAATTATTCTTGTACAGTCGTTTGTTTCTGCACACCAATTCTTCATGAAACACCTTTTTTCTGAGTTCATTACACAATCACATCAGTTCTAAACAAAGATATAAAACTGATTACCAAGAACTACTTCAAGGACATTTTGCTGGTGTCTGTATCATATTTTACAGGCGTTCAGATGCTTCGTGAGGGATATTGCGACAAATGTCATGATGGCTGTTAGATAAATGCAAATGAATGTTAACAAGATGACATTACCCAAAAAATCTGCATTTGGAAAAAAGTAACGTAAGTCTACTTAAAATTAAAGAATTTCCAAATTAGACTCATTTCCCCTAAAATAAACTTGATGATTAAGCCACAGTAGTTTCTCCAAATGGTCAACACTTAGTACACTCCTTCCTGCAGACAGACATCAGTGCAGAGGCTCGAACCCGCAGCACGCGAGCCGATTAGCTACGTGTTCAGTTTGATGTGCTTTAAATTATTATAGTCGTGTAATATTTTCATGAAGGGGTCTGTGTTTATTTATAAAAATCTATGTCGTGATATTTAGATAGTGTCATTTTTTACTTTATATCATTCAGTTTTAAGGCTTTGCTAACTCAATGCTAACTCGAGTGTGCGTCTTTCTGCACTTCCGGTTTTGCAACCGCCGCAGTCTGACTTGAATATGCCGTTTTCGTTCATACAGCTCTGTCGGCTTGTTAATAAAAAAGTGTTTAGTGAGTAGTGATAACACAATTGCGTAATAATTCGTTACCTTAATGGGGAGACTGGACGACATAACGACGGTTTTCTTGACAGAAAGTGGTGAATTGACCAAGTTACAGTGAGACGTCCCTCCGTTAATAACATCCGTCAGCAAACTGAACAGCAGACATTTTACTTCCTGTTTGTGTCATTTTCAAAGTAAAAGCAGTGTAACGCCGTCACTTTAAACTAGTTACTGGGATTTAGAAGTCAATTTTCATGTCTGAACTGTAAACAATTTCTTATCTACCCTTTATGTTTACCTTACGGAAGCTCAGCGGTAGTTTCAGATTACGTTGCTCACCCTGAATGTAAGACTCAGGGCTTTAAGATGTTGTCACACTGTGTGGCTGTTTTTCAAGTCTTTTTCTAACTCAATCAACTTTTTATATAGTGTCAAAATTAAAACTTAACATGAGATCCGTCCTATAATAATTAGCTTTCACATAATTATTAAATTCACAAAAAAGTAAAACTGGTACAGACTAAATGAGGCACACAGTAACTCATTCAGTTTTATTCTTAAATAAACTCAACATAAAAGAGCCCATTGTAAATACCAAGTTTCTTACACAAGTAAAACACCTTTGGCAGGTGACAATAGTATGTAAAAATAAAAACGCTGATTTATATTTACAACAAAAAGAATTTAATCACCTTAATCCTCAGGGACACCTCACCATGTCACACTCATAATAAACTGATATCCAGAGTAAGAGCGGTCAGTATTATTCCTTTAATTTCATATCCTGGTGGCACTTAAAATAAAACAGTTTCTCAGTTAGTAGTTAACATAGTAAGGAAATTAGGCAATGGAGACCCAAAGGTCATTATGTAATAAGCCCCCATAAAATTGGAACTGTGCCTGTCACACCCGCCAAGTGACTTATGTCACTTCAGAATACACTTGTGGTGGACTTTAAATGTATTTTCTGTCTTTTCATGGTTATCTTCAACATACTAAACACTGTTTCCTCTAAAATACTGGTGGCAAGGTTTAGCAGCTAAGAAGAATATGATTATTCTGCAGAGGTGGGGTCGACTTGGTCGTCATTGGCAGTGTAAATGGGAACCTCCGTCTTAGAGCATTTTAACGGGTTTTCACTGGCAAAAGAATCACTGTCACTATCGATGGTGATGAGAGGAGGTGAGCTCCCCTCTCTGCGCTCATCACTCTTGAGCCCTTTGCTCTTCTTCTTGTGTTTCTTCTTTTTCTTGTGGTGCCGCTTACTTTGCTCGTGTGTCCTCTCCTTACTGACGGTCTCCATGCTCTCCCCTCTGCTGCTCTTTTTTGACCGTTCTTTGGATTTGGAGCGGTGCTTTTCTTTATGTTTTTTCTTATGTTTCAATAATAATGGTGAATAATCTTCTGTATGGGGGTTTGAGGGTTGGTTATTTGAGGACTCTTCCAAATGTCTTGTTTTGTATTTCCTCTTCCCAGCAGGTTTGTCATGGTGAGATTTCCTTTTTGCAGAGGGGGAGCAACTACTGGAATACGTCCTGGATCGAGAATGCCTCCCGTCGTGTCTCTGTGAGTCCCTGCTGCAGCTCCTGGAGGGAGAGCGTGAGGGCGAATCCGAGTGCTGACGACTGCTGTAATAGTAGGACTGCTTCTGTGTGTAATGTGTCACGCTACCATTTCTCTCTCGTTTATAATGGCTGAATGAATTATAGCTGTGGTCGCTGTCTCTCCTTTCATAACTCCTATCTGTGCCATTGGAGTAAGAATAACCTCTTTCAGAGGAATGAGAGCAGACATTCCTGTTGGAAATCACTGGACTTCTGCTCGAGTGCCTGTGCCCTCTACTACTAGATGTCTTCCTTCTCCTTCTGTGGTCTCTATCCTTTGACTTCTGCCTCTCCCGAAATCTCTCCTTGCTTTCATTTCTTCCATCTGTCTCTTTAGTACGTGATTTGTTGGACATCCTGTAAATGTCTGATTTTAAAGAGCGACTCCTCTCTCTTGAATCCAGAGAACGATGGGGATCAGAAAGTCCAGACTCAATGGACTCACCACTCTGGGAAGCTGCTGGACTACAGCTGGTCAAACGAATGTGCTGAGGTTGTTGGGGAAGTTCTTTGGTTTCTTCAATAGAAGACTCGGAGTCCGAGGAGAGCTGAACCAGCTCAGGAGTCCTCTCAACTGTCGGCTTAACAAATCCTACAATAACACAGTCATCATCTTCAGAAGGTGGGCGATCTTCATTTTCTTCCTGAGTCAGGTCTGTCTGGTTATGGGGGCTCATTGGCTGTGGGGACGGCCCTACCGCCTGTCTTTCGTCTTCTGAACTGGTATCGGACTCCAGGTCCAGGACCGATAGGTGCTCTGCCCTGCTCTGTTCTGCTGTTGTAGAATATGACGGCCCTGGTGTCTCATCATCCCACACAGAGTGGCTCAGTGTAGAGGTGGAGTCTCCCTGATTGTCCACATCAACAGAGTTCTCGTCATCCTCTGAGATAGCAATTACAGAGGAGTTGGAGCTGCTGTCTTCATTTGAGGAGGGGGCTGGGCAGTCATAGACAGCATGCTGGTCATAGGCCTCCATATTGAACGGGGACTTTGCAAAACTGATAAACTCATGTAGAAAGTGCTCGGTTCGGCCCTGGAGGAACGGCCTGAGTTCTTCCTGAATAGCTCCATCCTCCATATCATAACGTGTGATGCGTGACATGATGATGTGTTGAACTATGTTGACCAACGAGCCGTGGGCCCCATATAGCACAAGCAGTTCTCTTTTTAGCCAAGGGATCAGTCTGTGTAGGCAGGCAGGATTTCTGCGATAGAACTCCGCTGAGGTGTCTCTGCAGCGGCCGCCGTCCCGAACACCCCGGATTCTCACCCCCCGCCGGTACAGCTCCCTCCTGAAGTTTATCATCTCTTGCTCCCTGACATTACTCACTGCCCTGCCTTCACTTGCAGCTCTCCTTTTCGCCGCCAGCCTCAACATCATCCGCCGAATGTAGCGATCTTGCCTCTGCAGGGGCAGATTTGTGGAGGTTTCGAACATAACTCCGTTGTCTGGAGGTGGAGAGCTTCTTCCACGCATCTGTCGATGGACTCCAGTAACCGTTGTGCGGTATCTAAAACGCACTCCCTCAAAATAACCAAAAGAAGAATTATCAGGATGCTGTTTGAGTTCATACTTCTGAAAGTCGGCATCTGACTTTATACTGTGATAGATTGAATTAAACGGCTGTTTGCATAGTGGGCATTCGGCTTTGTTTTTGGACCATTCCAGAATACAGCGGAAACAAAACTTGTGAAGGCAGCGGTCCAGATAAGAAATGTTGTGAAATATGTCCAAACAGATAGGACACTTGGAGTCAGGCGACACTTCAGCAGACATCGCTACCGAATTTTTTCTTCTGCCACTCTTCTGGCTCTGTTGCAGGGCAAGCTTGATTGCGGACATGATCTGTCACAAAGAAAAAGCCAGTTAAAATAACTTATTTTTGGGGATACCAGTATTGATTCCATAAAAAGAAAAATCAGCTTTAAACCCATTTTCCACTTGTTGGAATGTTTTTTAATGTTCTTGTTCATCTTTGCGCCGATTTAGATTCTAATTGTCAGGCTGATCATTAAAGCACAAAACTGGAAATTATTTCCTTTGAATAACTAACCAGCACAGATTAAAAATGGGCGAAGAAAAACATATTAATTACATGCCACATAAAGCAAATTCAGATGTGTTCACCACTCAATATCTTAAACCCCAAACAGCACCAAATTAAACTATGTTTTTATTAATAAACATAATTCCCCCAAACAATTCACTTACTGAGCCCCTGGACGGAAAACGTCTGGCAGCAGGCTGTTCTGATGCAGTACACGATTAGCTTTAAGAACATATACTCAAGAGAACGATTGTGGCTTCGCAGGCAGCAAAGTCTCGGTGCATTTTCTATAGAAACTAACACATGTCTGTAATAACAACAACTTAACGACTGAAAACGGACACAGTACACATCTGGTAAATCCAAAGAGCCACACCGTATGTCCCAATATGGCAGTCCGATATACATAACACCCAGAGACTCCAGCGTTATGCCATTACTCGGAAGACTTAATATTACCCCTTCGCAGCTCATGAAAACAAATACAAATATTACATTAGCACAAACTGAATATTCCCTATGCTATAGTTCCATACCTTTATGTTAAATCTGTATATTTATAGTTACCCTTGCGGAGTGGGCTATTACAGTATCTCCTCCATGTAAGTAGTGTCAGGTAGAGACAAATGTCGATCATGAAACACTTGCCACATCTGAATTTGAAATTTTAATGGTTTAGAATTGTATCCCATAGGTTTAATCGTGCTAACAAAGTAGTTAAAATGGAAAATTGCTTTTAATAAACAGGCTAAGCTGGTTAGCTGAAGTTAGCAGGTTAGCTTCACAGGCTAGCATGAACTGGCTAAAGTTTAGCCAGGAAGGCTGAAAGCAGTCGGTCAAAGTTGTCTGCGATTTACCTATGGATTCCTTAAACACGTATTAGGCCGGAAAGCGGTCGCTTCTCTTCTTTTCGGAAGACACTTATTTACGAACACTTGTCATTCTCTTACACATTTGAACACCGCCTTCTCTTCCTTTCGTAACGCACAGGGTTATTGTTGGGATTTACGAACTTCCGGTTTCCATGATAGAACGGATGTTAATGTTAGAGAAACAACCGGACAACAGAAAACTTCCGCTTTTCGAGTTAAAACAACTTCATTAAAAAAATGATCTGGGGGGGGTATAACAACGCCACTGTTCTGGAAAGTTTACCTACAATTTAAAAATGCTAACCAATACAAGACAAATATCAAAACATAATTCACCTTACATATACACAGTGCAGTCCAGTTAAATTCAGCCTGAGGGACAGCTAAAAAATACAATTGTACTAATAAAATACATTTAGGTTGGCTGGACATTATATTCCCCATTTCAATTTAAATTAAACTGGATTTAAAAAAATGATTTAAACTTATATCAGAGGTTTGATGTAGAACAGTTTAGTTCAGCTTTTTTCTCTGTCAACGTCTCATGTAAACTAATGTGTGAAGAATTTAAGCTGGACTTTGGTACCACATTACATTAATGTCAGGTCTCTCACTCATCAATGATTTTGTAATATTTTAATGGAACATACATAGTTTTTACAACATAAACTCAAGAAAATATTTCCTCTTCAGCAATTAATGATGGCCGTGGGTCTCAGGGAGATCTGGAACAACTTCGCCCGTCTCCAGAATGGTGTCTCCCTAAGCACAAAATTATTTTGAAAAAATAAGAAAAACAACATATCAGGCAGCATGTATATTAGTTAAAGTTGGTTTAAGTTATATGGAATCAGTCTAAATAGTAAAAAAAAGAGAGATTGCATAAGCTCATAGGGCAAATCCATTGCTCTATTGATGATATAGAAAAAATAAAGAGATAATGTTATAAATACAACATGAATCATACTTACTGGAAACAGTTTGGGTTTCAGTTCCACAATGCCATATGGTCTTTGCTGTAGGAAAACAACAAAAATACATTTTAATATATCAATGTATAAATCAGGTGCTGGCCTTTCCATTTTCAAACTGAGGCTATCTTTCAGTGATACAACTGAGCAAGACAATAATCTAATATCTGGTTGACAAAAAATACTCAAATACTGTTAGAAGTGTTTCAAAACTTACAGCAATGTGATATTTCACGTAGTAGTGGACAAGCCAGGCAGGTATCAGCAGTCGTGTTAATGTGAAAACTCCCCCCCGGTACACTTTGTAGGTCTGCAAGGACATAAATACATATGGAGAAATACAGAGACATTCATGATGGTCTAAGAGACCAGGACCCAGTATTAAAGCCAGTTTTCTAGACATTTCAAAATACCAAAAGGAATGAAGAAGTAACATTTTCTCTTGATGGGTTTAGATTATTAAGTTCAAAAGCTTTGTGATGAAGGTTGTCCCATAACAGCTAATAAAGATCTTTCAGTGATGGATGGGATTTCTTTAGATTCTTTAAACCTGGAAGGTCTTACGTGATCAGAGAATCAGAATCAGAAATACTTTAATAATCCCAGAGGGAAATTATTTAATATTTGTGTTAATATTTGTGTTAATAATCAGTTTCAGTCATCAAAAGCACAGAAATCACCGTAGCTACACAAAGAAAAAAATGTGTTATGCATCCTACTAATGACATTTTTAACTAAACTAAGTCATAAAAATGTATTAAAAAACTACCTAACTAGTTGTAAACTACCTGACACCTGTTTGTCTGGCCATAGTCTCATTTGAGATTAGATAGGTCATAGGCTTACACCACAATTAAGTTCAAACATGACATAATGGAAAGATGGTTTCAAAAAGAAGGAAAAAAATGACTAATATCAAAACTGTGATATTTAAAAGGAGATTTACTTTATAAGTGTAAAGATACACTAATGGGACGATGACGTGAAGGCCGTTTACCTTACAGCATGTCAAAATGAGGCCATTTACCCTGTACTTAAGTTAGCTTCCGTCAGTGCGTTTACATTTCTTATAAAAAACAGAACTTTGTGCACAGGGGAAACCGTTAGCGTCTACACACACTGTTATCAGACCGAGTTATTTTGGTAAGGATAAATATCGGGACTCACGTAAAGCCTCCACAGGCTCTTGGGCTCCAGAAAGCTAGCCCAAAACTTAGCAACGGCACCCGGAGGCTTAGCTTGTACAACGGGCTCCCTCGGGCTGAGTTCCTGATCCTTCAACCACTGCCTCCTAAGTTTTGCGATCTGCTCGACGCGGAGCTTTTCGTCTGGTGTGTAACCAGACATTTTGTTGTCTGAATATTCAACCTCAGTACACCTACAATGACACCATGGAGGACACTTCCCTTTGCAGGCAAACACACCAGCGAAGAAGAAAATAGGTGAAAACGAACGACGGGCCACATTTTAGATTGCCACCTGCTGGACAAGAGAGAAAACTGAAGGACTATTTGTCCCAGATACAGCACTGTATATACGTATATGTTTTTACTTTTTATCCTTGTATTTTGTCACAACCCCTTAATAACAGAATAGACCACGTGCCTAATACGTCGTGGTGTTAATCTGTAAGGCTAAATCACTAGCCCATTGTGAAGTTAAAACCTATTTTGATCATATGAGACATTTGTATGACCTTTAACGATTGTTAGAAACCAAAAGTCAAACAAACATATTATCCTTTACTCACATAAACTTTTTTGTTTATGTTGTGAAATAATCGCCTTTGAGATTAGTACATAATCATTCTAATTAATGTGATACAGCCTTTCAAGGAGACAATTGTTTCAGATTTTTCTCAGTAATTTTAATTTTCAAATTCAGTAGCCTTTGCTGCCAATTTTCAGCATACAGCTATTTGTTTTGGATGTTTGGGGGGGATTTGTAAAGGTTCATTGAACATTTTCCATACATTTTAATGATTTTTTTGCCGTTTGTAAATACAGGTCTTACTTTGAAATGATAACCGGAAGAAGTGTCCTGAAAACCGACCCTGCTGTTATGCGTCCTCAGTTTTAGCATTATGTATCCAATTAGCTATCGTTAGTTCATTTGTGGGTCTTTGGCCAAGAAAGCGGCCCGTCGGCAGATATTTAGCTACCTTTCTCTTCACTGCCAGTATTAAGAGGTAAGTCTCCAAAATAATTTACACATCTTTTTTTTTCCCTGTCAAACGAAGCCTCATGGCTACTTAGAGCCTATTAACCTTGGTCGCATTATTGTCATCGTAAACAACCATAAGAGATGCGCAACACTGTCTTGGAGGAATTATAACAATAGTTACTACTAACCTGGCGTTTTCCTGTATTATATCTGAACATTTCATGTAAATAGGGCGATTCCTTGGTATTACATTGCTACGAACTGCATATGAAGGTGCAATGTAAGACACTGTATAAAAAAACAATATTATTAGGAGGTAGTCTGATGTTAGTTAGTATCGAACATAATATGCTTTGAAACATGTCCACTGTTTTAGAAAATTGTAGTTTTGTACTTCCATGGTTCGCGGTTCATTAGTAGTGAATAATCGCATTAAATCGTCCTAACAGGGTAATTGATGGGGTCTGGTAGTAGTTGTGCTTTGATCGCCCCGTTGATGTCTCTGTTCACATTTGCAGGTCTGTTCCAGACTTTGGATGGAGCCAGTACCCAAGATCTCATTATTTTGTACAACCCAAGAGAACCTTAGATTTAAGGATTCAGGCATTTGTGCACATCAGTTCAAGAGCAATGGTCAAGTATATTTGTAACAGCACAGAAATCAAGAGTGCATGGGACCATGTTGTCTCTGCGTTCTGGCAAAGGTATCCCAACCCCTTCAGGTACGGAAACTCTCTTATTGTTGCTCGGTATGTTTATGTTGTTGTGAAAGGTTAACATAGTGTGATAGGTACATAGTCTGAGCAATTTAACAGTAGGGCTGAAAAGACAGAGATTTCCTATAGACATGACAGTAATCTTAGTTGAGAATTTAGTGGGCAAAACTAGCATAAGAGTTATTCTGAAAGTGTCCCTTTCTGAGTATCTGTCATGGTGTTCTTTGTGCTCTGTTTTGGCAAAATCACACAGCAAACGTCAAGCAGGATTGAAAGGGAGAAGTGAAAAAGTACATCTGAGATGTAAAACTGAGTTTAGCTCATGAAAGTGGTTAGGTGGTTTGTTTCATTTTCTGGGCCCCTCTAAAATGACGTTTCCGTGTGTTCGTGTGTCCAACAGCACCCACGTGCTCACAGAGGACGTGGTGTACCGGGAGGTGACAGCGGACCACCGGCTCTTCTCCAGACGCCTCCTGACCAAGACCAATCGGCTGCCTCGCTGGGCAGAGCGGTTCTTCCCTGGTGGCATGGCTCGCTGTGTGTATATCATCGAGGACTCCATCCTGGACCCCGTGAGCCGCAGCCTGACCACCTACACCTGGAACCTCAACCACACCACTCTCATGGTGCGGCCCGTTATGCTCTGTTCCTCTGTCTTATTAGGTGTTTTTAAAGGACGCTTATGTTTCCGACTGTCGGGGATGTTGTGTTTTAGGCCTGATTTGCAATTCCACTGGAGTAAATCCCATTTTTTCTTTGTAAGGGTAAAAAAAAACAACTGCAGATGAAAACGAGACCTCCAGATAGAATTCTCACTACATTGCTGTTGTACAGGATAGAAGAAAATCCACTTGCTTCTCCTTTTGTCATGATTAATGCTCTCTGAACTCGGGTTCATTCCTGCTCAGTGTGGTCAGGTGTAGCACAGAGGTTTTATTTCATAGAGGTATTAACCCAGCCTGATCTTCAGAGGAGGTCAGCGTTTGAACGCAGCTCACAGGTAATAATCTCTAAGTAGGATGGACCTCCATATGACTTATACCGTGCAGCTGTGAGGCGTGTTTGATTTCCGTCCTGACTGCTGTAGATTACATACAGCTCTAGGATGGATTATGGCTTTATCCGCTTGGTTTTGATTCATAATCTATTCTAACCTAATTCAAATTAGCCAAATGGCACACACATTGAGTAGTAAAAATCTGTGAGTTTCAGAGTTCTGCTGTGTAGTCCTTAACCACAACTCTTTCCCCCAACCTCTGTTCTGTTCAGTCTGTAGAAGAGCGGTGTGTTTTCCGAGATTCAGCCGAGCAGCCGGCAGCCACGCAGCTGAGACGGGAGGCGTGGATCTCCTCCAGCATTTATGGCTTTTCCAGACCTATTCAGGTGCACTTACCCTCCGTTTAAGTCAGCTTTTCAGGAAGCGTTTGAATGACAGCAGCCCTGTGCTCCTCTTAGACAACAAAGCGTCTCCTCATTTTAACATAAGTCAGTGGAAAGTACTTTTTTCAGCATTTGGACTGTAATGAAATAGGCTCACCGTTATTTTTCTGTACTTTGACATACCTGGGATGTGGCTTAAACACTGCCTATCCCGCTTGGATTATCTTTTATCACTGATATAGTTGTAGTTTAGGGATTTTTACCTCGTACATTGACTGGATATAGTCATCCAGACCCCCCCACTGGTTCGAGAAACGCCACCATCCTGAGGTTAAAACCTGGATGTGACTTTGGTTGTTGTAGTACTTGTCCATCCCATCCAGTGAAATTTCACTGGTCTTTAGCCAGAGTTCTTCGAGAGCAGAGTTAAAGTGATTAAGTGATTAAGACGTGTCCCACATGAAGCTGTTCTGAATTTCCCCAGGAGTTTGGACTGGCCCGCTTTAAGAGCAACCAGGTGAAGGCCATGAAGGGGCTGGAATATGCGCTGTCCAACCTGCAGGGTATGTTCACACCGCACGCTAATACAACAGCTTGAAAACAGGAAATCTTAATGAAGTCAGTCGCTGATCTCTGAAAGGAACTCCAATGTTATTCCACACTGAGGTTCTGCTGATGGTGAACGACGTGTTTTTGTTCACCTGAGGGTAGATTTACCTTCAGGAGGAGGCCACGTGATTCATTTTTAATAATGCCTGGGTACAACCAGGCTTCGAATGGAGAAAAGAGTGTACTCTGTTAGCCACATGACTAATATCGTGTAGCTTTTGACTCAAAATGACATTAGAATCATGTAAAAGGGGGCCGTCCAGTGTTTTAGTGCTGTGTTACAAACCGTGTGTTGTGCTGATGCGGCGTGCTGCTGCTGTCTAAAAGGCCGTCTCCCATTGTTGTCATGCTGTCCCATTGTCCCTGTGTTGACGGGGCTGCAGGGATTGGCATCAGGCTGAGCGTTGTGGTAAGTGTGCCAGGGGCGGGCATTCACCTGACAGCCGGGGCCTTTCGCCCAGGTGGTCAGCAGACGCCCTTTCTGAGCCCCACATGGTAGATGAGGAGCCCTGGTCCCGCCGTGCTGCAGCTTTTAAAGTTCCCCTGCTTCTACACACCCGATTGTGAGTCGACGGACTGATTCCAAAGCACAGCACAGGCCTGCTAGTGACTGACGTGAATCAGGTGTGTTGACCCAGGGAGACATCTCAAACCTGCAGGACGGTGGAGGTCAGCAGTAGTCACTCCTCCCCCGTGCGCCGCCCGTCAGTTCAGTTCCGAGCCGGGTCTCGCAGAAACACGGTTCCTTCAGCATTACCGCTGTTTTCTGCTGTGGGAAACTGTGCGGCAGGGTGTGGTGGGAGTGGGTGTGAGAAACAGCTGCACACAGCACCAGAACTCCAACACCAGCCGTTGCTTTTCGAGTCCTTTTAATAAAAGATCCACTTTCCAACACGTAGCTCATCCCGTCACCAGTTCCTGTTTTCAACAGAATTCCTGAATTGGCTGTGGATTGGCTGTATTTGCTGTTGTCGGCTCATAGAAACACCCAGTAGAGAGAAAAGCCGTGATGTGGAGTCCATCTCAGCTTGTAGTTTGGTCCCGTCCCTCCCTGTTGTAGCCGTTTACCACATTAGACCCTGTTAGGAAGTAATAGCTGTTATCTAGCTCCTCTTTTTTCTTTTTGTTTAAAGGCCCTGGACCCAGTTGTTAGTTTTTTGTCTTCTTCTGTAAAGCATGATATTAATTTAGCTGATATTTGTTCGATTTAGAGGAAGAATAGGTACTAAAATAGGGTTAAAGCTAAGGCAAGGCACCTGCCTTCATCAGCTAAAGGCCAGGTCCTCTCTGTTCTTACAAAAAATAAAGAGTGCCCCCATTTTAATTTCCCAAATTTTTGTTTGAGATTATAACTTTCAAATATTCTACTGACATTTGTTTTTTTGTTTCAGAATCTAAAATAATCCTCAAATCAGTTTCAGTTTCAGTCTCAGAGAAATCTAGCTTCATCAACCAGGTATTTAGTGTTCCGTCCACTTCCTCCACATTCGAATCAGAAAAGCGCCCCACTTCAGCCCCCATGAGATGGATTGGACTTCTTCTGGCACTTTTGTGGTGTTTTGTGAGACGTATTTCATAGAGAAGCTGTCTCACTCGGGCAGATTCTGTGTCCCAGGTCATTTTTGCTGCTTAAACTCACCTCACGTGTCTCGTGATTCCTCGTTTAGCCAGTAAGAATTTTTACCCCCAGCACAATGAGAAGAGCCTCTGAACCTGTGAATAGGTCAACCCCCCCCCCACCTCCACCGCTCTGCCCCCTCAGCAGGCGGTCAGTGACCGTCTGCCCCGCTCTGCGCAGCGGTCTGGTTGTTGTTCTCTTCAGGTTGAGGGTTCACAGTCAGGGCAGACCCAAATAGCCTCAGCAGCCCCGGGCAGCGCGTCTAACAGCTGACAAAAAAAAAAGGGCGCGCCCCCCCTCCTCCCTCCCTCCCTTTCACAAAGGTCCTTCATTCATCTGAGTTATGTCACCTCCTCTCTTCTGAGCGGTACAAAAAAAGGCCGTGAGTGGGGTCTGAACTGGGCACAGCGTGTGCGTGAACACCAGCCGACAGATGTGAGCCAGAGGGAGGAGCTCAGGATGAGTTTGACAGCTTTGCAGCACGAATGAATTTGAAATCACTTTTTTTTCCAAAGGCCACACGCACGTCACTTCTGAAAAGGTACGTTGTGAAGGTGTGCTGTGGTCCTCACGCTGTCTCCTGCCTCAGGAGAGACGCCCCAGCGGCTGCTCCGGGACTCGGTGAAGGACGCGTCCGGGAAGGCCAAAGAGGCGGCCAAGACTCTGGCCTCGGCCGCCGGCCCACAGAAAGCCCCGCAGTACGTCTGACCGGGCGGGAAGAAGCACAGCGGGCGCCGCTCAGGTCCACCACGAAGACACTTCTGGGGATGTGTCCAATTACCTCTGCTGTTAGATTAGTACTCTTGCACTTTTTAAAAGAAAACCAGATCCGGAGCCCTCGTGCGGAGCGTTTCCGTCTGACACACCAGCAGCACCACGTGCTCCTGCAAGCAGAACCACGTGGCCACAACTCTCTCGTTAGATTTGAAGCGACCATGAGCACATTGTTGTTTGTTGTAAAGGATCAGCTGCTTTAGGTTTTTTTTCTCCAAAAAAAAAAAAAAAAAAAAATGCTAATCGTTTTGTGAATCTTTAATTTAAATGGAGGCAAAGAAGAACAATTCTTATTTTTGTGTAATGCTCCGAAAAAAGGAGCAGTGTTTTGGTTTGAAATGGTTCTAATTTAAAATGTTGCAGAAAGCAGCACGAGCAGAAAAGCATGAGCATGCTGACAATCACACGACAAGTGACTTCTGTCCGAATGAGCAAAGACTTCCCTCGTGTCTGCTCAGATTTACACTGATGTTATTTGCCTTTAACTGTATGACTGAGTACAGTAGTGAAAGCATCATATCAGTCCGCCTGTCGACGCTCATCTGGTGGTGACGTTATCGTTGTGAACATTTCAATGACCGCATTCCCTTTAAGGTGATGGATTTTTATCATTGTGCTTCGGGGCTGATTTTCAACTATGATGGTGACGTACTTGTAATAATAAGCTAATGCAGAATTGTTGTAAACAGGCTACAAGTTGTTGGAAATAGATTCAAAATTGTAAAGGAGCTGTAGAATTATATCCTGATGCTTTAAAAAAGAAGTGTGTTTTGTCTCTGTGATAAAAAAAAAAGCTTGAATCAAACTGTGTGTCTGACAGAATTGTGTTGTTTTTTTTCTCCACGCTTTTGCAGTCGCGAGAGCTGAACTCTGACCTTTACATGAATATTCCAGACTGCAGCTGCACAAACCAAACAGGAAGCCTGCTAACATTCAAACGTCGTTATCTGGGTTCACCTGCTGCCTGGTTCGGGTTCAAGTTTTCCTCGTTTTCTGGCTCCAGAAAGAACTCCACCACTCAGCCGCGGCTTTATGTATAAAACATTTTAATTATATTACAATGAGCGAATACACAATACCTTCAAGTGTGTGCTAAAATGTAGCCAGCACCAGGTACTCGTGTACGCACGCTTACACACACATCCACCCATAAGGAACATATTCACAGGTCTCTGGCACAGAACCCTCCCTGCTCTGCGCGGCACGCTCAGGTCGGCCTGAGTCCGAGCCAGTTCCCCCTCTACGGCCTTTAGTGGACGCCACACCTCATGGTGGAGTCGTCTCAACTGGACTGGAACGCCACCCCACACACGGAGAAGGAAAACATAAGAGAAAAAGACACCAAGTGCAGGAAGTGGAAAGCTGACCTAAAGCCTACAGGTAGTTAAAGCTATCGGTTTCCGATGACGTACAGGAACTCTCTATCGGTCGTGGAAGGATTAGAAGTGACCGTCTGGCAGGAATAAGGTCTGGTGGAAGTCACTGTGTGGGTTTTCAGGAGCCGTGTTCGCCGTCCAAACCCCTCAACCCCCACCCCGTGTGGTCGGCGGCGGCCAGCTGACGGTCAAACCTCCCGTGCTCGTGAAATGAAGCGAATCTCTGCGCAGCCGAGGCCTCTCGGGCCTCCCCAGTGAGAGCAACTGTACCCGAAGTAGCAGTCGTCCTTAACTGGGACAATCTCAGCTCTGTTTTTTTTGTTTTGTTTTCTTAAGTAATATAACTTTGTCCAAGGCACATCTTTAAAATAATGTCCACACACACTTTTCATGCCAACATGTCCAATCAGCTGCTCGTGAGCCACTCGCTCACAGAGAGAGTGTGTGTGTGTGTGTGTGTTTGCTATGGAGGTTTTTCAATGACGGCATTGAAAAACTGTAATCTCATATGTGGTCCCCTTTGTCTGTCTTTGTTTCACTTATCTATCCGGGAGGTTCTGTGCAAGAGAGTCATCTTATGCCTTTAATGTGATTTACTCATTTTGACCGACAAACTTAAAAAGGACATTTTTGCTACAAATAGTCATGTACAAATCCTTTTGACATGAGTGTAAACTTTTGATGACAAACAAAAAAGTTTTTTTTTTTTCTCACCTCTGGTTATTTAATGTTGTTGTTGTTTTTTCTCCTCCTGCAGTGTGTGGAGAGAGTGCACACAGGAGGTAAAATCATCCAAACAAAACAAAAAGTGTTGGTCACCAAATATGCACCACAGAGTAAAAAGCAAAACTACCTGCTTGTCTTTAAAAAAAAAACAAAAAAAAAACCCTGCCTGTCCACTCTCCCTCAGAAAGCACAAGATGGTCATATTGCTGTGTGTCAAGAAGTCCCCTGATCAACGGGTAACACTTTCTTTTTCATGTTTGGGACGGACCACTGGGAGCTCGGAGGATAACACCTTAAGCTGCCATTAATTGGATTATTCTTTTATCACTCCCCCCCCCAGTGGCTCCCACTGAACAAACACATAGTCGACGTACAATAATAGTAGAATGACAAAACAGGAAAATAAAAAATAAAAAAAATAAAAGATAAACACGCTTCAAGCCCAGACGTTTTCAAACCCCGTTGGTGACCGTTCCGGGGCGACTGGAAGCTGCCATGGGAGTTTACCAGTGTGTGTTTAGTTTGTTCCATGACAGAGGCGGGCGGCACTGGGAGATGGATAGGCGTCACGAGGGCGGGGGGGGGGGGGCTGGACAGGGTGTGGTACACCAGTGGCTTCGGGAGAAAAAACCGGGGGGCTATTTTCTTTTCGTTTTTTGTTTGTTTATCCTGTGTTTTTTCTAACGAGGTCTCGTCTTCGCGTGCCCCTTTCTCGTAGAAGTGTTTATCAGGGTTGATAA